TCTTCATCATGCTTTCTCTTTATTTCATTCTTTTTTCTGATAATTTTTTGTAGTAATCATTTTTTTCATTGTGGTCATTGATAATGCTGCACTTCCTCGGCCAAGCTTGATCTTTATTGCTTTCTGCCTTTGCCTTCTTGTTAAACCTTAATATCTCTAGATTGACAACTTGGTTCCTTTATTCTGTAGAATTAATATGCATTAGATCTGCTTTGGTGTGTCATGTTGTAATATATATGTAGTGGACTAGTGGGGCACATGTTTACTTGCCTTGTAGGACGATACTTGGATTCCTTTGATCTCTACAGTCCACATGCTAAGTCTAAGAAACCTTGGCAAACTTCTAGGTGCTGTCAATTTTTATCAGAGATGAAACTAGAGTCTTTAATGTGTTCTTAGGGAGTGATCTGTTTAGCCATATGTATGTATGTATGTATGTATGTATGTATATGTATGTATGTATGTATGGATATATATATCTCCCTTATATTATAAGTGCCTAAGGGTGTTAAGTTCGATTTTTTTCCGTCTAATTTCTAACGCCTCTACTTTTCTCCGTTTCTTTCTCTTTCCAATTGCCCAGCCTCTTGCGTCTCTTTCCAATTGCCCGGCCTCTTGCGTCATTCTCGCCACCCACCGCCCCATGATAAGAGCTTCTTCACTGCCTACCTCTTATATTTTCGTTCTCCGGTGTTCCGATATGTCTTTGTTCTTCAATTTCCAGGTATGTCGTTGTTTGTTCGTGCTTCCTTGTATCTCCGCTTTTCAATTTTTGATAGTTCAATTTCACAGATTTTTAGAAGCTGGCATTTCAACATTTTGGAATTGGCTCAAATTTCAAGGAATTCCAAACTTCGGAAGTTTCTAGGTGCAGTTTTTTTGAAATTGAGTCAATTTTTTTATACACCTTTTCTAATTTAGGAAAGACTTGGTAAAGGAGAGGGGATCAAAACCTCCAAATCCCCACAAACAGATTGTATGCGGTGCATGTTTGTGAAAACTATTTTATCCCATAAAAATGATTTGAAGGATTTGAAGTCCTTAGAAGGTAATTTAGAATGCACTTGATCGCATTTGGTGCCCAAATCATGGATATAAGTAATCTATTTGTTGAGTTGTATTGCAGCTAAAAATATTGTTTTTTTACAAAACCAAGGTTCATGGTATTGTTTATAGTATTTAGATGTATGAATTTGTTAGATAAAAGGGGTTTGCTTCAACATATGTTATACCCGAGTAATACTTAGGGCTTGTTGATACATATTTTATGGAATTTTGGGAGTAAGATATCATGTTCTGTATATCACAGTGGCACTTCGATCATAGACATCTGCAGACGTCATCTAAAGAGTGATCGAAGTAGGTAAAGTCATCATGCATGCAACTATAAACCGTTGTTTCTAAACATGTTGGAAGGAATGAGCAAGTAGGTAAAATCATACATCTATCAATCCATTTGTACAACTGTACGCTGTGTTCTGTTTATAAAAGCCAAAATTGTATTTGTAGGGAACTGCCCAAGACTGCATTTCGGGCTTAAATTCATTTGGTAACATCATCTCTCCCCTCATATTCAGCCCCTTGACAGGTAATTACTATGGAGCACTAACTAAGATGGGATCCATTCTTTTACAGTTTGATTTCTAAGCATGAATTTAGATGACTCTTGCTGAAATATTGGCCTTGGCTTCTAATCTGTGACCATTTTTCCAGGTTCACGAAAATGACAATAGACAATGATTTCATTTGTTAGAAAGAACTGGTACACATCAAACCCTTTCATGTTCCTTTATTTTGTTGTTTCATTTTTAGTGTGTTTAATGCATGCCCCCATTTATTGTGTTTATTTCATGGAAAAATCTATGGTACCCTGTGTAAGCTTGAGTATACATACCGATTCAACATTATCTATTCCTTGGGCAGCTACCGGCCTATTCTTTTTATTCTTTTAAAGGAAGTATGCTCCCCCCTAATACTCTATTAATAGAAATAATAGAAGAAATAATAGAAAGGGAAGCCCCGAAAACCTTATGAATAGACCACTGCCATCATTCAGTGAATGAAAGCGAGTATCTGGTCTTTTAAGATCGTGAGGCATTGCATGCAGGAGGTCGAGTTGGTTAGTACGAATGGCAGCTACCAGGGGACAAGGTACTTTTGAAAGCGGAAATAATACGCTGTATCTATGTTCAACTCATTTAGTAAGAATAAGTCTAGATTCCAGGTTTTTAAACTTCCCATTTACAAAGCACATCTAAAGCCGGATGATAACACCAGATGTTGTTT